CGGTGGAAGGAACTCTGCCTTTGTCACTCCATATTTCCAAGTTCCATGTTAAGCACTAGAGCATGAGGTGTAGGTGGGTGCTCTTTTGTTTGGGGTTTGCATTTAACATGTGGGTGCTGCCAAGTGAATTTAAGAATGCAGAGGTAACTTGGAATAGTCCTGCGACAGCAGTGGGCCAGCGTCCTGTGCACCCTCTTTCCCGAGTGGAGTTCCCACTCTTGCTCTGTGGCCTGTTTTCCACACTCGACAAAAAACAACCATGCCACAAGTCTGTGTTGAGATGTTCCCTGGGTCTTCGTGGCGTGCTTCCGAGGTGGGGTGTTTGTTACCTTGGGGAGAGGCAGAGCCAGGCCACAATGTGAGGCTGGACCTGCTCTGCTGGTTTGGACACGGCCCACGGCTATGAAATGAATATGGCTTCCCCTCATCTCTTAGTCTGCCCAGGCAGCAGCTAATAGGCAGATGGCCCCGGTCATCTGGCTCTTGAACCTGATTTTATATACCTGCAGGCAGGGCAGAGAGAGGGAGCACAGGCTTTCAACCCATGCAATGGGCACTGACAGGGGCCAGCAGTAGCCTGGGCAAAGGGCACAACTGGCAGGACGGAGGACTCTGCGGGAGACTCCCCAGATGTGGGCCACTGAGGATAGAGTGGTTCCCTGCAAGGGACCACTGACCTCTGGCTTCCACATTTGCATTTAAAAGCCATTATGGAATGTAATTTACTCTGAAGGCAGGGTTATATTCAAAGCACACTACCCCTCAGCAAACGGACATGACCACAGTCCAACATGGGTCTTCCCAGGAGAGGTAGGGGAGAGCATGTGGAGAGTGGCAGCGAGGAGAGGGCAGGGAGGCTTTTCGGCATGGGAAATGAGGTGCGGAGGAGGACTCACCTCCCCAGACTCATTTGGAGGTTTGGAGCACTGGATTAGACTGAGCTCCAGTTGTTTTCCACCCCAGTTCACTTGGTTTGAGGGAGTTTCAGGGACTGAGCTGAATAGTTTCCATTTCCAACTTCCTTTGCCGTGGACGACGCTGGCTTCCTCCTCTGCAGCAAACGAATTCACCTTCTCCAGGGGCTCTGCCAGTGACACTGAGGCTGGAGGCCCCAGAGTGGGGTGCACGATGTGGACGTCTTCATCCGAACTCAGCCTGGAGGTAGGATATTGAGTTGGGTGGCTGGTTGTTGTGCCCCCAAATCCAGTATCCAGTGACACTCGGCCGTGGGAGATATGGAATGGAAAAATCCCTGAAACACGTGAGGGACCTTGTGGGACAAGTAGAGTGCCTCTCACTCTGGGTCTGGGGAACAAATCTACTTTGTCTCCAGTGTTATCAATTCAATCCATGAACCTGACAGCAGCCTGAGCCGGACTCCCAAGGGAGATGGGCCTGGAGCAGTCTCTCTTACACAAGGGAGGCCTCGGAGTTTCACGCCTCACTCCTGAGTCACCAAAGTCACTACCACTGTCTCCCCAGGTCATACCCTGGCAGGGGTTATGTATAGTAAGTGGACCCATTCAAATTAGAATAATTTTTAAAAAATGATATTTCTCTTCCTATGATCATAGGTTCAAAATGAGAGAGGCGAGAGGGTAAAGACATTTTTGAGAATCATGTCCAAATTCTCCATGCACAGACTTGATCATGAGCCTCTGCTGCCTTCCGGGGATGCTAAAGGGATCCCGGTCCCCCTCCTGTACTTCCTTTATCGTTGTTTCATTGTTGGCACCTCTGAAATAAGGGGGTCAAGAAAAGAGAGTAAACACCGAAACCTGCTGTATTTCGCAATCTTCCAAGACCCAGAGGGAGAAGAGGCAAAAATAAATATCTGTAATAGAGTGTGCTGAAATAAACTGTGGACTTTGGAACACAGTTAATTATTCTCCACTCGTGCTGTGGTCTATCCCAGGGGTGGCTTGGACTGTGGGTCTCTCCTGCACAGACTTTAATGCATCCTAGCCTGGAATCAGCCTGGCCACTGAGCGAAACCGCTGCGGCAGTGATGGGCTTTTTCTCCCATCTAATCCAGATCATAAATTCTAGGGAAAGCACAGTCAAGGGCACAGGGAATTAAATACAAATATAGGATGGTTTCCGCCCCCCCCCCAAGAATTAACAAGTTGCCTGGTTTAGAAATTAAGAACCATAAACATAATTACTAAATGATAAGAAGTACTATCTATATGACCAAAGATTTGGGAGGCTGGGGAGGAAAAGAGAGAAGGATCAAACATTATATTATAAATGGAAAGGAACCAGGGCGGGTCACTGTACACCAAGGACAGTGACATGGCCCAAGCTGTGGCAGCAGCCCCAGGTGAGAGCCTGGAGGAGGAGATGAAGAGGCAGGGACAGAGAGGAGGAAGCAGAGCTATGGAAGGTAACTGGGGGAGGAATAGAGGAAGGAGGCAGGAAGGAAGAGAGGAGGATTGGAATGAGTATTCAACTCAGACTCCAACTTTTCAATGCAGTTGGTTTGAATCCCACTAAGCTGCTGCAGCCCTTTCAATGGTTCAACTGCCCTAATTCTTAACTTTTCAAGGATACAATATATTATTAACTATAGACACCATGTTGTACAATAGGTCTCTTGAACTTACCTCTATCAAACCGAAATTCTGTTGCTCTAATTCTTAAGTACTGAAAGTGTCAGCTCCTATGGCTCATGGAAATGTGGATTTTCAGCAAAGGCATTTAGATCTGTAGGCCAGAAGAGATGGAGCAAAGAGCCACGTGTCCCCAAGGGCTAAGCCAGAGAAGCTGAGGACCTGGGGCAGCTTGTTCAGTTCTAAGCAATACTACGGATCACTTGTGTTAGGGTCTTGCTGGTCGACCAGTAGGCCATAATCACCTGACTTTAAGTAGTCTACATTTGGGATTAAAAAGGATGTCAGTAATTTTTTTTTTCATTATTCATGTACACAAGTAGTTTTCTGTAATAACTGACTTTTCAAAAGGAGGACTTTATGCTGGTTCAACTTAGCCGTCTCCTACAAGTTCATCAGACACTCAGTGAGTGGGAGAACATCTGAGCAGGTTTCAGGAGACTTTAGTCTTCTTGGCTTCATACTGTGGTTCAAGGTGTGTGCTTCTTAATGGACAAACCCAACTGACTGGAACCTCATATAAATCCCAATGTTCTTCCCAAGCAGTTGTCGTCAGAGCTAACGTGACCAGGACAGAGCTGGGATGCCATCAATAGGGAGATCTGCACAGGTATAGCAAAAGGGGTCATTTCATCTTTTTGTTCCTCTCAAAGCGCTCTCTTTCCTCCCACATCCATCATGTATATATGAATGATAAATTAATAGCAGGCGCTGGAAGAGAGATGGCCTGATGAGCCCCCTCCTTCCCCTGGATTCAGCCACCTCTAAACGCCTGACTCTGCAGTGCTGTGTTCTCTGCCAGCCACAGGACTGGCAGCCTGGGATGTGCCAAGTTCTTGGCTCCAAATTGCAAAACAAAACAGTATAGGAGGGAATTTGTGAGTTAGCTGATTTGCAAACACTATAGCAAGTCACCGTGTAAACATTTGTTTCTGTGTACCTATTATTTCTCTCAGGTGGTTACCTGCATGCCGTCCTGACAGTGCCAAAATGCGAGGCTCCTCCAGTCACCAATGACTCCTTCATTCACACTTAAATGAGCTCAGCTTAGTGTGCACCATTAAAAAAACAAAACCAAACAAGAAAACAAAAACACCTTCATTAAACAGTAAACACAGAGTAGCCTGGTAATTGTGGAAGGAGGGTCTCCAGTGTTACTCAGAATCAACACCAGACTTACAGGTGTGTTCTCAAGTGCACATGAGGATGTCATTCAGATGGCACCAACCCAGGGACTTGGCTGAAGAAGCTAGTTCCCTTTACATGGGTTGGGTGACACTATCTCCTCTCAAGTTCAACCTGACTTCCTTTAAATAAAAGTCAGTAGGGTCATAAGTTGTAGACATTCCTTCCATGCCCCCAACCCCAAATACCTTTAAAGAAAAATCACACAAATCTGCAACCTTTACTGGGTCGAACCAAATGTATATGGTCAACATTCTGATTCTTCACAGTAAATCTAAACACTAGGTTCTTTCATTGATGCTTTTTTTTTTTTTTTACAGTTTAAGAAATTGGGGGGGGGGCGGGTAAAGCTGGGAGGGGTGACACACACCATAATCCCAGCAACTTGGTGATGAGGCAAGAGAATGGCAAGTTCAAGGCCAGTCTCAGCAACTTAATGAGATTCTGTCTCAAAATTAAGCATAAAAGGGCAGGGAGTGTAGCTAAATGGTACAGCACCTGGGTTCAGTCCCTAGTACCACAAAAAAGAAATGGAGGTGTCATGGAGTAGGTGAATTGGATGGTGGGCCTCACAGCTGGTATGTAGCAGAGGCAGAATCTGAACACAAATAAGCCTTATTCCAAAGCATGTATTCTGAGTAATTTTGCTAAATTCTCCCTCTAACAAAATAAAAATAAAATTAAAATTCTACATGACAAAAGACATCAAGGATAGATATCACAGAGCCCCAACATTTTCTCCTTCTCCTTTTCCTGGAAGGCCCGTCTCATTCAGCTTCCAACTTGCTCAAATTCAGGGCTGAAGCACCAATCCTCATAGAAAAGGGAGAGTTATAACCACAAGTTTCAATGAAACTGGAAAGAGGGAGACTCTAAAGGTTAACTTTTTAAAAAACATTTCATACCATCACAGGGTCAGAAGGTCCTAACCAAGGTCATCTAATCTGTTTCTTGCCCCAGGCACGATGACTTCAGTCATCCCACAACAGGAAGGCTCATGCAGTTTGTAAAAATCTTACTGGATTCTACCTACCAGAGAGGAAGCTGCTAGTTATCCCTTGCCTGCCTGTGGTCCTGTGATGTGCTTCAGTGCTTTTTTAGAGAAAAGGTACAGCAAGAATGCAAATTAGTAATAATGTACATCGCCTCTTGTCCCATAGCACACCCATCCGCCTCAGACAAAGGATGCAGGAGGCCCCAAGCTACAATGCCAGTCTTTGTCAGAAAATATATTTATTATTGATAGTGAGCAAAGTAAAGTTGTCAGTATTCATGACAGAGGTTGCATAAGCCAGGTGGCCTTTATGTTGGTGAAAATGCCTTATTTCACTTGTAATCATAAACATTATTCCAGTTAAAGGGGACATTTTTTTTCCTTTCTGTCTTCTTATTTGCATGATCACCCTAATAAGTTAAAATGAAATAAATTCTCATATAAATCAAAGAAGAAAAGGAAGAGAGTGGAAGCAACTAGCTGCAGCCCAGACAGGTCCAGACAACTCCCCCCAGCACCATCGAGGCTCTGAGCTCGGGTGGCTCTTTTGCTGTCTCTCCCCTCCACTATGATAAGCTCGGCCTCCCGATACCCTCCAGGCTCTGTGAGAGTGGGGTTTCACCAAAGAGTGGAGCTTGGTGGCTCGGGAAGCCTTTTGTGGTTAGTGGAAGTTAAAATAGAAAGTACAAAAAGGTGGAGAGGGCCGCCCTTGTCTTTTATTCACCATCAGTGGGGTTTAATAACACTGGACAGCGTCCTTGGATGACTGAGCCTTGAGCCAGGCCTTGGTCTTTCAAATTGTTGCTGATCAAAACATGACATGATTCTGTTGAGTCCATTTTCCGGTCCTTCTCTTTAGTGGTCTTCTCTGTAACTGGGTTCTTTTTCTTACTAGGGAAAAAAAAAAATGTTCCACCTCTGGAATTAATGTTGAAGAAGTTTGCATGTTCTCTAAGGTGGTTTACCCTCCCTTCTCCAGCATGCTCTGCAAGAGAAATAGAAAGCGTATAAGTTTTACCACCAGAAAGACATCATGAAAGTACAAGAAGGCAGTGAACTATTTAAGATGATTTACACTGTTTTCCAAATATCTACTTCAACAACAAAACAAGGCATATGCTTCCTGGCCACACAGTATTACTACCTTTAATGAACACTCCTGATCTCTGAATGAGCCCTTCCCACCAGAATCCCAGCAGAACACCCTAAAAACATGGCCTGGCTAGTGGGGTACAGTGGGCATGTATGTGCCATCTCACTACCAGGGGCATCTGGAGATGTGACCACATTGACCAGAGAGGGCAATGATTGCCAGTGCAGTGTGACAGGGGTTTGGGGACTTGAACCCAAGGGCTCTGAGAGGGAATCTCTCAGCAAGATTCTCCCACAGTGCCATCAGCTCACCCCAGGCAGAATGCTTACCATGCTGGGCACTGCTATACACACAGGTACCTACTCCCAAATGTCAGAAGTGGTCCAACCAGATTAAAAATCTATAGTCAGACCCTGGCCCAGTGGTGCATGTCTGAAACCCCAGTGACCCAGGAGGCTGAGGCAGGAGGACCACAAGTTCAAGGCTAACCTGGGTAACTTAGCAAGACCCTGTCTCAAAATAAAAAGAGTTGGGGATGTAGCTCAGTGGTAGAGTGTCCCAAGGTTCAACTCCTAGTATAAAAACGCTGACAATCACAAAACCCCAAAACTCTACAGCTAGCTGATGCAGGGATCTACCTCTTCCATTCTCAGAGATCTTTAAGAAGAAACAAGTGACACAATGCTAAAATTATTCAGAAGAGGGTGGGTGGGGCCCTCAGGGGTGGACGCCTTTCCCTGGCTTCCTGCACCCTTTTCCCAGCAACCCCACACTGGCTCAGCTCTTAGCTGGCCTCCTACAGGGTTCTCTCTGCTCTCAGTTCAGGGCTATGAAGAAACTCATACGCTGATCAAATAACACCTGCTGATCAAAACATCATGAGATTCAGGGTCATAATCTGCTAATTTTTATTTATTTGCTAAATATATGCTAAAATTTATTTCATTGAACAAGTAATATGTTCATGGTAAAAAATTCAAAAGGAACAAAAGTATATCTGGGAAAATGTAGTTTTTCCCTTCCTCCTGTTTTCTTGTGGATGCTTCCAGGGAAGGCATGAGAAAGACAGAGGGTTGTTCTTCCTCACACTGAAGGAGTGGTCAGGGACAGCTTCTCAGATGATCTTTCATAGGATGGAATAGAGCAGAGCACAGGGGGAGGGGTGGGTAGGGGTGGGGTGAGAAGCCGAGGCAAAGAGTTGGGAGCCAGCAGTTCCTGGATGACCAGGAAGGAGGGAGAGGGGCCTGCTGTAAGGCAAGGTGTGTGCTCAAGATCTACCAAGAGACAGAGCATAAGAGGGGCCCAGAATGGAGTCAGGCTGAGATGCTTCCTGCTGCGAACGAAACAATGTGGGGATCCAACAAGAACCAGGCAGAATGGATCCAAGAGAGGAAAGCTGGGAGGAACATTTAAGAAATCAACAAGGACGGGAACAGGAAATGCATACACATACCCCCAACAGGAAGCAAAAGAGAGAAGATGAGGCCCGAGGCACAGGTGGACCCTCAGGGACAGTGTGAGTGTGTAGGAAGGTCACCAAGAGAATAGGGAGGTTGGTGGGAGGAGCCAGTCTGGGAATGAGGACTTCCATTTTATATTTGTGCGTTAGATGATTTTTGAAGGAGACATCCTGGGTGGAAACGCCTGGAAGTAAGTTGCAGGTTGGAGAAGGGAGGTCAAAGGTCACTAGAGATAACGAAACGATTTAAGGTCAAAGATAAAAAAAGAAAAGAGAATTTAAAATGGGCAGAAAAGAGAGTGGAAGAACAAACAAGAGTGTTGGGTCACAGAAGCGAAGGTGGACAGAGTACCCCCTAAAGTGTCCATAATCGTAGGTTTCTAAGGAGTTCATGTCCAGAGGGCACCAAAAGAAGAACAGAGTAAAGGCAGACAACTAGCTACAGAGAACACACGTGGAAACGGAAGGCAAGATGATGTTCCAGTCAAATGGGAAATGAGTGAGAAAGCAAGATGCATCCGTCGAAAACAGAAGGACAAAGGGGAAGGCTCTGGGCAGAGCTGTCCTGTGAGCACGCACTGGAAGTGAGGCTTCTCTCCCAGGCGTCGTCCCAGGAGCTCTGGGCTTGCTGGGAAAACAGAACAATGAGCAGCTAGCTACCAGGCAAGAGTCAGACACTGTCCAGCATCTCATCTATGCTGACCCCTAGTCACCTGACCTGTGTGAAAGTCTCCATCACACAGGGGTGCCCTGTAACTTCCTGATATACAGACAACTTCACCCCAACATTCTTCATTAAACACCCAGTGAAGCTGTTATAAAGCAGACCCCCACCCGACCCACTGAAGGGCATTTAGTTCCTAAAGAAGATGATCCATCTATGAGCAACACCACCCACCACTGTGCATTTTGGGGCCTGCACTCACTGTATTCTTGAACACATCGCCTGGTCAAGATGACATGGTTGTGCCTCTCCCTACCATTTAGGTCTTATGGTTATAAGGATAGATGTGTGGCAATATGCCCCTTTTTATATGCTGCAAAATAATATGCAGCTACAACATAATTAAAGCCCCAGTTAAAGGGGTTTTGGGGAGTCTAAGGACTTTTTTATATCATTTTTTTCCTCCTCTGTAACACTGATCAAACGTAGATGGGTAATTTTTCAGGCAAATCATATAATGCTAACAAGGTCAGACTGTCCTGGAGAGAGACAGGCCCTGGTTGGGTTGGGGATCAGTGGGCCAGTGTAACATAAAGATGCTCTTAGACCACATGTGAGCAAATACAAAACTCACAACCTCACACCCTCTGCTGTGTGTATTAAAATCTTCATGTTCAACGATAGCGTAGTGATTCAGTGGATTCACGAGTGACATCTTAGAAACTTGAGGGCCCACAGGAAGCTCCAGGGCTGGTCTATAAACCTGCTGTCAAACTGCACTTAGTTGCCACCAAAGGGTGACAGAGGTGGTACAAAGCTGTCTAGCTGCTGTCAGAGACATTAACTCATACAATGTCAAGTTGAATTTTTAAAAAGATGAATAAACTGATAGAGCATTCTGTGTTATTACTACATCACAGCTTTGTGTGATAAAACCTGCCCAACCCCATGCGGGAGGGCCTTCAGCTGGGGGATCCTCGGGCCTGGCAGGGTATGTGTCTCTACCATATAGGTTCCCTGGCAATATCTGTATCGGTTCTGTAAGGAGATGCTGTTGGGCTGAATTTCAACACTGCATAAATTTAACACTGCATAAATTAACATAGGAAATTCCCTGAAGAATGAGGGAGAAGCTTTGCAAGTTATAAAAAATTGCTTCCTTCATTTAAGGAACTGCTAACACTTAATCTTAATGTGGAGAGAGAAATTCTTTGCTTCTGCTCATCATTCACATATTTGGACCCACAGAAACTCCTTTTGTCAACAGCTGGGTAAATTACCAAAAGGAGAGAATGGTTCACGCGTTAACACTGCTCTTTTCCTGAATCTCTGCCTGATTCCAGTCACAGAGGAACAACTGGCAGCTCACCCTGTCAAACAAGAACAGCGCCTTGGAGACCTGAAATTGTGTGTCATTTCCACTTATTAAAATGATCTTAACCACTTTCCTCAAATGTTTTGGTTACACACTCATCCTGTCAACTGATTTCTGCATTACAGCTCTCTTGCTTAACTATCCCAGCAGCCTGCTGGCTCCTGGCTGTCCCAATATATTTGAAAGGAATTATGGCAACCTTGGATTATGGAGTAATCATGACAAAGAGAGTAGTCATTTTTTTTTTCCCCCAAAGATATCACTCAGAATGCTTATCTCTGGGCAAGCTTATTCTGCATCTCCCCAAGATTTCAGACCTAATTAAGTTGGGAATAGACATAGGAAGGTTTATATAAGTCCAGGGGAAATTGACACAGGCATGTGTCCTAGGTTAGACACAGCTTTGGCACCTGAGCTGTCATTAAGGAGGGACAGGAAGTCAGGGTGGGAAGAGAATGGAGCTTCCAGGAGGGACAAGATAGGAGAAGACTGGGAGATGGGAAGGAAAGTCATCTATAATTTTGATCTACCAAAGCAGAGAGCCAGCTTGGCCTGTGGGCCCTGCACTGCTCCACCCCACCTGGATACTGGTCAGGTCACTTACTCTGTTTGCAATGTCTACATAACCCCCAGCCAGGGCTGCTCTTTGTTCTTCCTGCTTTGGAAGAAACACAAGTAAACTTTCCTCTGTCTCTATCTGGTTTTAGGTCTTCTATGACAAATGCTATGTGTAATATTCAAATTAAGTCACAAGTAATTAACTGTTTATACAACTTGCTGCAATAACAGACAAAACACAAACATACTGCAGTCCTAACTCTTGAAGGATGAGCACTGGAAAAGAAATACCTATTAAGAAAAATGAAAATCTATTGCCATGGTAATATTTCTTCTATTAAACTCAGATTAAAAAAAGGAGGAAATGTCATAAAGCAAACCATTACTTTCAGAAAGTGGTTTAGAAAAGGATTTCTATGACGCAAGAGGCTGGGGTAACAAATTTAAAGTTTGGAATTTAGTTTGTTTCGATGTGTCTCCAGATTTGGCCGCCCCCAAGAAGGGTAGCAGATCTATTATGAAACTCCTGTGTGTCACCCCGTGAACAGTAGCCCAGCCAGAGACGAATAAATGTCATTAGGCGACGTTAATAAACAAGGCCCTGGACTCAAGAGACACAAGTTCCCATGGGTCTCCCCACAAAGTTCACCTCGAGATTTCTCCTTGCGCTCTCTGAAGGTGGGTGTTGTGTGAATCAAAAGGCCCCCCTCCCCCGATGTGGAGTGGTTGCCTGGGAATAGCACAGACAAGGGAGGTCTGGTCACAACGGTGATGTGTCACCTTGGCTCAGTGCTCGTCCCTTGCTCCTGCCTGGGAACACCAGGAGTGGCTCCTCC